TGTGATTGACTTATTTCACTCAATATAATATCCTCCAAATTTATCCATGTTATGCGGTGTTTTGTAGATTCTATGTTATTCTTCAGCATTGCATAGTATTCCATTGTGTGTATATACCATAGTGTGGTTATCCATTCCTCAGTTGATGGACATCTAGGTTGTTTCCATCTTTTGGCTATTGTACATAGTGCTGTGATGAACATGTGTGCATATGTCTCTTCTAGTCATGGCTCTCACTTCTTTAGGATATATACCTAGTTATGGAATGGCAGGATCAAATGGTATTTCTATTTCCAACTTTTTAAGGAATTACCGTACTGCTTTCCACAGTGGTTGTACCATTTTACAGTCCTACCAGCAGTGTAGGAGAGTCCCAATCTCTCCACATCCTTGTCAGCATTTTTTATTTTCTGTCTTGTTGAACTTTGCTGCTAGTGCTGGGGCAAGATGGTATCTCATTGTTGTTTTGATTGAACTGTTCATCTTTCAATTAGCAGCTGAGCGTTTAACCGTCAGAGTTCCTTGTTGTTGTTAGGTGCCATTGAGCTGGCTCCGACTCATAGTGACCCTTTGTACAACAGAACGAAACACTGCCCCGTCTTGCACCACCCTCTCCATCCTTGTATATCTGAGCCCATCATTGCAGCCACTGTGTCAATCCATCTTGTTCAGGATCTTCCCCTCTTTCACTGACCCTCCATTTTACCAAGCATGATATCCTTCTCCAGGGAATGGTCCCTTCTGACAACATGAACAAAGTAGGTGAGATCAAGTCTGGCCATTCTTGCTTCCAAGGAGCATTCTGGCTGCACTTCATCCAGGACAGATGTGTTAGTTCTTTTGGCAGTCCATGGTACTTTCAGTATTCTTCACCCATACCACAACTCAAAAGCATCAACTATTCTTTGGTCTGTCTTATTCATGTAAAAGCTGGACAATACCATAGCTTGAGTTTAGGTGCACCTTAGTCTTCAAAGTGATGTCTTTGCTCTTCAGCAAATTGGTAACAGAGTTGCCCAGTGTAATATGATGTCTGATTTCTTGACTACTGCTTCCATGGGTGTTGATTGTGGATCCAAGTAGTATGAAATCTTTGACAACTTCAATCTTTTCTCCACTTATCGTAATGCTGCTTATGAGTCCAGTTGTGAGGATTTTTGTTTTCTTTATGTTGAGGTGTAATCCATATTGCAGACTGAATGAACTCTTTAATCTTCATCAGTAAGTGCTTCAAGTCCCCTTCATTTTCAGCAAGCAAGATTGTGTCATTTGCATATTTCAGGTTGTTAATTGTTCTTCCTCCAATCATGATGCTACATTCTTCTTCCTGTAGTCCAGCTTCTCTGATTATTTGCTCAGCATACAGATTGAATAAGTATGGTGAAAAGATGCAATCCTGATGCACACCCTTCCTGATTTTAAACCATGCAATATCCCCTTGTTCTGTTTGAATAACAGTCTCCTGGTCTATGTAGAGGTTCCTTATGAGCACAATTAAGTGTTCTGGAATCTGCATTCTTCTCAATGTTATCCATAAATTGCTTTGATCTGCACAATTGAATGCTTTTGCACAGTCAGTAAAACAAAAGTGAACATCTTTTTGGTATTTCTTTGCTTTGAGTCAAGATGTATCTGACATCAGCAATGACATCCCTCATTCTATGTCCTCTTCTGAATTCAGCTTCCATTT